CAATGTGGGTGGATTCGATGCATCACACTGCCTCGACACGACAACATCCACCAGCACCCAACATGTCGTTTCCACATCTCACCCTTGAGCCCCCCCCTCCCCCCGCCTGGCACGGCCCAGCCTGACGGCCCATGACGGCCCAGCAGTCAACCTGACACCGACCGAGCTGACACCAGCCTCGGCGGCCACGGCTTTCTTCAACGCTTTGCCTCCCTCGGCCTCTCCCTCGCCTCTGACTCTGCCTGGCCTGTCTCTGATGTGCAGTCGCCCTTGCCGACCAAAGAAGATGAGCGGGAAACGCGTGGGTTTGCTGATTTCATGTCGCCGGCCCAGATGCAAACAGCGCAGGGCCATACGACGGCATAACAGGGCGGCTTCTTCGTCATTTGTCCTCCCCTTATCCCTCTTCCGCCAATTTCCAATTCTGGTTGCCAGGCGACAATCCTCTGGACTCGAGCCGCCGCTTCGTGAAGCCGACAGAGCCCCGGCGTGTCCGCCGAGTGTCATCACATCATGCCGACACACCCAATGATGGGCCATTCATCGAGCACTCCTCCACCATTGGTCTCTTTTGTCTCGATGCACCTCTACAGCACAACAGCTGAGGAAGGCGACATTGGCTGGGGGCTTTCCGGGGATCCGACCTTCTCTGTCCGAAAACTCTCCTTGAATCACATGTCCCGTCCATCTCCGCGCAATCGTGTCTCTTGCCATGTCCTGAGAGACCGACCGTTTGGGCGTTTGGGCGTTTGGGCGTTTGGGTGCAACCACCCCTAATCCCAGGGTCCACCCACACACATACCCGCCTCAGTGAGGTAATCAACTGTTGTGATGCACCTCAGTCCACCGCGTGACGATGATGATGGCCTGCCCTCCGATGGCAACGGCACTTGCATTCAGGCGCCTCCCAAGCAGCCCGCCACGGCCGGCATACGACGGCCGACAGCCGATGGAGAGGGGTCCAGGTCTCTGCATCGCCCTCGCCCAGCTTGGCCGCGATCCAACGTCCTGAGACACATGCGTGCCAGTCAACGAGGCACAGCACCACGCAAAGCAGCTGAGCCTGTCGCAGCCCAGTCTCGATGCGTCGATGCGTCGATATGCCCTCCCCGCTGCTTTGTGCCTGGCGAGCGTCTCCACGTGCTCAATGGTCGTACGGACAGGCAGTTGCGCTGCGCTTGCTCGTGTCGGCATTGTTGTGCCATGGGAGCGTCGGTATCGGTCGAGCACCGCGCGCGCAAGGAATGCTGAAGCTCGGATCGGTTGGTCGTTGGCCTGCCAGAACCTCGACGTGATGTCGCTGATCCTACCATAGACCACTTTGCCCTGCTAGTGTATTTTTTCCTTGGAACTGCCCGTGAAGCCCGGCTCGGATATCGTTGCCTGACGCCTCGTCCTTTTGGTGTAGATTCGAAATCGGGGCTCTGGGACTGCCTCACCGTGCACCAGCCTCGAGTACCTCTTACCAACCCTCCTTGGTCAACCACGAAAGAACAGTAACCACTATCGAGCACACTGTATCAGATGCATTGATGACCTGCACGCCAGATCAAGTCATCAGAACTAGCCCTGGCCGACCAAGCCGCCATTGACGGCATGTAGCGATAACCACCGAGGGGCCCAATTCGCACCCGGTTGCTGAGCTTGATGACTCGAAATACGTCCGGGTCTAATCGTTTTCATAGTCTTATTTGGTCACCATCGTCTGCGTGATCCAGATAGTAAAACTGCATGGCTCTCTCGTTGAATCCGGTTGAATTGAGCATCGGAACACACATGATGGGGCACCCTTGATCTCGCCTGGACCCTTGGTGCCAACCTCAATAGATACGTGGACCATCACCCGAATTGTTCAGGCATGTTGCCACACTTGCATTTTCCTGACCTGGTTACAATTCTAAAGTGTTTCCCAGAAGCTTGGTCAATGCCAAAGTCGCCAAAGATTTGTTCGCAAGTGCCCCTGCGATCAAAGCCTCCATCAGAAGAGGTACAGTCATCAATCAGTAAGGATAGGGGATGTGACATTTTGGCTTGAGTCCTTGTCAGACACGCATGATGGCAGAACAGAATTGGCATTAACAGACCGATGTTATCCAAATCTATAAATGGAAAATTAAAATGAAAGGGGAAAAAAGCCATGGCAAGGCAAACCATAGAATTCGATACATTATCCCAACGAGACCCAGTGAAAGCCTTGATCCAGATACCCACCACAGAACCGACGACGCAGCTCGCTAATCAATGACGCATATCTACGAGGCATTTCGCCTGTGTTTTCATGTGCCTTGAAATTATGTCTATTGCATGCTGATTCGCAGCACCTCCTTCACTGTCATGGTCTTGATGTCCGGGAACCTTGTGTTCGGAGACTGGTCGTGTTCAATGTTAAACCGCCGCACAACAACTCAGTAGCAACGGGTTTGGGGAACGTAGATGCGGCGAGCTCGGCCTCGTGCGAATGCAACTTTGTGACCTCACCGTCCGGGAGTCTCTCGATGGAGTCGGACACCATGTCAAACGGGTTTCCTGTTCATCAGGGGGCATCAGCAACGTCTGCTATACGGACACAGGCCTCGATTAGGGGATTGTTACCTGACGCTGCCTCCGCTTCGTTCAGAAACCTGTCCTAGGTCGTCCTCTCCCCATGGCAGGACGCCAACTCTCATTTTGGTCCGTCCAATAATGCGACTACAAACTTGACAACATCGTATGAGGCGGTGGACGAGATGGGTTCGTCGCTCGAGCCAGGGACGCCGGCCTTTCCGTGCAGCAAATCAAGCGCAACGGTCAGACAGGGAAAAGAGTTCCAAGAACGCATGAGATTAATTTGTGCAGAAGAGGCCACCTCAGTTTTCATCTGAAAGGTTGAGAGGAAGATGTTGACATTGTGCTGTAGGAGGGTCTTAGCCAGGGCTTCAACATCGACATAGTCTGAATATAGACTGTGTTGGTTGGAACCTCAGAATCCTGTTCTAGAGCCGGAAATACTGAGTGAGTGAACGTATTCAATGATTGATGGCGCCTAAGCTTGCCTCGAAGCCGGGTACAAGGGCCTTTATCAAGACGACTTAGGGTGTCTTAACAACAGCACAACACATGTGGCCAGTTCCACCTGCAACGGCAATGACATTCATGGTATTAGTGTGAATGAGTTCTCAAATTCGTTAGAGTACATGATGTTCGAGAACTTGCGATGCTGTGAATGCGGTCGATGAGATGATCAGACCGATCAGCACTACCAAGCTATATACCATCTGGCGCCTCTGAAATGATCATGGTACATTGATTTCAAGTTGACAATGTAAATGAGGTTCACTCCTGAGATAAGAAAGCGCGCGCTCATCGTGAGTCGAACTTGTCAGAGGTTTGTGCTCATGGTTGACCCGGAACATAAGCACTGCCAGCATGGCACATCGCTTCGCCCATAGCGCGCGGTGACTGTTTGGCTAAGCAGGGAACTCATCGAGAAGATGCCGCGATTATGTTCATGATGGCCTGGAAGTGAGGAGCCGCGTCAGTGTGCGGAGGCCTCAACCCTTGTTCGACATAAGAATGTAGGGCACAAGTGCACGTATCTAAGCCTTTGGGGTATATCATATCTGAGGCGATAGCCTTGCTGAAGCTGCATCAGCGCTTGAGTGCGCATAACCCGCCCGGCATCCAGCCTGACTCTGATCTTTGCAAATATCCTCTCTTGTTGTTCGTCTTGTTCTTCCATAAATAGGTCTCCTCTACCCATCTTTTAAGCTTCAATTGAAGGAATCTTTCAAGAAAAACAAGCATCCGTCCCGGACGGCCAATGAACTTCTTTATCTTTAAAGCCAGCTCTCGAGGGCAGACAACCGCGTACTCACGAGCAATCAGTATGTCGTGGTAAGCCATGAGTTGCGGCATGGTCCGATTGCAGGAATCGAAACAAGAATACTGTCATACACCACAAAGGCTACACAGAATCGAAGGACCACCTGGTCCGCAGACCATGGTTTGAGCTCAGAACCTAATCTATCGAACATTGAGGTCAATGGCGCCAAGGCGCAGATGGCTGGTGGTCCAAGGCTGGCTTGTCGCTCGAGCTACATAAATTCATCATGCCACTAAGCACAAGATCTTGTGATGTATACATGACTTGATTTCCTGTTATGGTGAGTTTTCTATCGTCACGTCAGCTGCTTGATGTCATGATGTCAGCAAAAGCTTGATTACCCTGATGGGCGCCTTCTGAGCCCGGCCATTTGCAGCCGCAGCTCTCATGGCATGTGCGCGGCTTATACATAGGTGGGTTTTAATCTGACATCTGCGCATTTTGTTCCACATATCAACTCATCACAGCACGCCATGCTTGGTTCTACAGCCCGATGTAAGGGCCTTCGGCCTTGGCATCGACTTTCCCAGCCGCGGTTCGTTTCTTGCGACCTCAAGGCGCAGCGTGCAGCCCTGCTCCGTAAAATCTATGCCCCATTCTCCCGTCTTGAAAGGGATCCTCCAGAATACACACGACTTGCCGAGTCCCGGGCGTGTGTGGGAGAGCCACTTCCGCCCAGGTGATATGACATACCTCGGCTATGACGCCCTCCAAAAGGTGCAGTATAGAACTCGCAACCAAAGTATTTCATTTGATATCTGCGGGGTGTCCAACTGCTGATATTGAAATAGAAATACAGGGCCAATCTTGCCGCAATTGACGAACTCCGAGATATTTTGAAACCTCACTTGGGTCAGGTCGCCAAGGCATTAGTCACCGAATATGCTCTCCAGTCCGTGTTCATCGAAAACAACCCTCTCAGGCTTCAGGACGCGCGCGCTGCCTTTGCTGCCCTGTCCCACAAGATCTTCAACCGCGTCAACCTCGCATCCCTTGATGCCGCCGACCTGATCCATCTCGACCTCCCCACTGTTGACAAGGGAGTCACGCTTGACAGCTCCGCCATGGCTGAGCTGAAGAACCACATTGTCGCGTCTCAATGGATCGCAGAGAATGCCGGGCTTCATCCCAACACTCCTAGCATCGATGAAAAGCAGATGACAGAATTGGCCGCTTTGACGGTCAAGGGCACTGCATCGGAGGCCGTCTACATCGGATCATGGGGCGGACGTGTTCCTCTTGGAGGATACCGAAGAGCACCCATTTCCGTCAGCAGCAACCCGCTGGTCATATTCCCATATCATCTCGAAGTCCCCGCCTGCGTCAAGCGCTTTTTCGACTGGCGCGACATGATGCATGCTGACAACAAAGTGCATCCTCTCATTCTAGCATGCCATGTGATGGTATACTTTGCACAGATTCATCCCTTCCCAGACGGAAATGGTCGAGTGAGTCGAATACTGATGCATGACTACATGGTGCGTCAGGGGTACTTGCTGGTGATGATGCAGAACCCAGAGCGCATGGCATTTATCCGGTCGATCAACAATGCTGCCAATGGCGACCCTGCAGAGCTAGTGCACACTGTGCTTACCAGCCAGTATGATAGCTTACAATTATGTTGAGGCACCATTGCAAACCAAAAACACATGACACCGCCAAAAATGATGGCCCGAACGAGCCGGATCGTTGAATCAGGTCCAACCAGGAATCGAACCTGGGCTGGCGGAATCAGAATCCGCAGTCATAACCATTAGACCATTAGACCGAGGGACTGATTGATGGAAAGAGCCGGCAAATTCTTGATTCAGATTCGCTTCGTTACAAGCCCCAAGCCGAAGCCCTGAACGGGTGGGTTGTCGTCGGAGGCAATGGGGAGGCACCCACTTAATCAGGTGGAGGCACGGTCTGTTATTCCACTAAGATGTCCAGAGTATCATCAATGGCCAGTAGTTGATCAAGGGGGACGACGCGACTCGGCCCCAGAAGCACGAGCACGCGACAGACGGAATGTTGGCCGTGGCCTGGCTCTTACGATGATCACGTCGACAGACTTGAAACGGCCAAGGCGGTGAAGTGGTTGTGGTCGAGGAGAAACGCCAACAAGAGACCACAACATTCCCCAGCAAGCCCAGGTACAGGCTCAGGTGATACAGCGAACAATTGGAAGCTGTGGCGCGTGACGATGGCATGCCTCGAGGCAGCGACCAGCTATTGACGCGAAGAGAATGACGTCAAGAAGCATATGTTGCTTGGTGAGGCTATCGATATCGATTTGACATGTCTGTTATGCTGTCTCGATGGGATTTTTTTTTTTGCTGGGACCATGCTGGCAGGGCCGCCCGTGACGACCTGGTCGTGGCAGTTCATGCATGGATCATTTGCATGGGATATACGCATGGGCCTGGTGAGAGGCCGCATTTGATGGCTTTGGTGTCTTTGGTGTCTTTGGTGGGGAAGAGGAGCATGAACTGGCGGAGAGATGGGCGAGCTTGACATACAGGGAATATGATGAGAGGCAGCGTGCCTTCAGCCAAGTAATAAGTCGTGGTGTGGAAGGTGTGCCATGTACTCTCATCGTGCCAATTCCTAGGTACGTACCCCTCGGGTCGTTCAGGAACCGCGGGTGGGCCCTGGAGCTACCGTCGGCTGGCCCGTGCATTACCTCGACAACTGAGCAGCAGCAAACGAGCAGAAACAAGCAGGACCCCCAAATTATCTGGACGCGTGAATCCACCACAATGTAACT